ATTACTGCCCAGAGGTCTGTCTTCCCACCTGACCCCAAGTTCCTGGGGCAGGTGCCCCAGGAGGAAATAAGGCTGGGCTTTCCCACCGTTCCCATGGGGGCTCCGGAAAGAGATTGGGCCACGGCTCAGACAGACCCAGTCAGGGGAGGACTGCACCATCTTTGTCCCCTAGGTCCCTCAAACACCAATGAGGGGCTGGCCCTGGGGGCGGACAGGAGGACTGGGACTCAAATGTCCAGATTCTTAAGAGGCCCGCCCACCCCTTCGGACCTTGCCCTTGAACCCTTCACTAGGATGTTTCCGAGAGCACAGAGAATCCCAAGAGCCAAGAGTCTGGACCCTTCCCTGCAAAATCCAGGGTCTGCAGGGCTGGCAGGCTCCCTGGGGAGAGAGGTCACAGCCTGCCACCGAGAAGAGCCGGGGAAGCCCCTGTGGGCTGTGTGAACTGGGCCCAAGGAAGGGCCAGAGCTGGGCTGCCCATGTGTGGCACTGGCTGTCCCTCTGAAGACGCCTGGCTCTCTGAGCTAAGTGGTGGCCTCTGCACGGTTTTGCTGACCGACCTCAGGTCCCACAGGAGTGTCATGCTATCCCGAGCAGAAAACTGCCTCACTCCAGGTGGGACTGACTGGTGTCGGGGCCTGGAGTCCCCACAGCCCAGAGTGGAGAGGGACAAGGACAATCCAAAGAGGAGCGTCAACCTTTCCTGACCTCCCTCAGACGGGCCAGGCTGGCCATCAGGAGACCTGTAAATGGTGCAGCCCAGCCCCAGGGAGCTTGAGGGCAGGTTCTGACATGGCCTCACCCACAAGATCAGGGCCTGCAGGAGGCAGGACTCACTCAGAGCCATTCACACTGTCCCCACAGGCATCATTTGGACGGGGACTGTGCCCCTGGGCTGCTGACCAGGCTCCTTGGCTGGGAGCCAGAGGGCCTGAGTGGCCCTGGTCAGTCTCCAGGGTACAGGCTGGAAGCAGGCTTTAGAGGGGAAGACGTCTGGCTCACGGGTCGAGGAGGACGACCACAGCTCAGGCCAGGCACGTGACCACGTTGCTCTGGACGCAACACAAGAGGTAGCCTGGGGTGGGTCTCCCCTGCTCAGTTCCCCACCCAGGTCTTTGTATTGGTGTTTCTACTGTGGGTGGCGCTGCCATCCCTGCCACAGCCCCCGGCACTCTCCTGTGTCCCGAGTCTGCTCTCCGCTGGTGTCCCTGCCCGTCGCTAGCTTCTCACTGAGTTCTAGGCGTTCTTTGTCACTGGGAATGCTAACTCTTTTAAAATACGTGTTTCATTCTGAAATCATCTCAGGCTTGGAAGCTGCAAAGCCGTAGAGACTCGGGCGCAGGTGGCCGGTGGGCAGGGCAGGGCACAGTGGACACCTGTGGTGGGCTCTGGCAGAGCTGTGGCCTCATCCACTTGCCCCGTGGCAGGGAGCCTCCTCCCCGAGCACGTTTAGTCCTCACCTGCCGCTGGCCTCCAGTCCGCAGCAGGCGGGCCCTGCTTGGTCGTCCTGGTCACTGCTGCTCTCGAGGCTGTTGGCCAGTTACTGCACAAAGCGTCCCTCGATTCAGATTCACTAATCGTCTCTCGTCATCGCATTCAGGTTACCCAGAGGCTCCTGGAGGCTGTCCCGGCTGGCGAGGCTGGTGCTGAAGAGGTCTGGTGGGAACCCGCGGCTGGTCCCCAACCCCCTCGCGCCCCCTCGTCCCTCCTTGTCCCTCCTTGAACCCCCTTGTCCATCCTCGTCCCTCCTCGTCGCCCCTCACCCTCCCATTTCCCCTCACTCCCCTCGCCCCCCCTCGTCTCCCCTTGCCCTCATCCCCCTTGTCCCCCCCTCCCCCCTCGGCCCCCCTCGCCCCCCCCCCCCCCCCCCCCCCCGGTCCCTCCACACTCTGGCTCCCGTCATTGCCGTCTGTCTGGGGCAGTCGCCGTGCCGCTCCCTCCCGGGCTCACAGCCCCCTCCGCCTTCGTTAGTGGGACTTCTGTTGTGAGGAAGGGGTTTCTTCTCCTGCCCCCACCAGTCCCCTGGTGGCTTACTTGGGCCAGTGGACTTGTGGGCTCTTACTCTGTTCTCACGCTGGCCCCGAGAGCCCCTGGGTCTTGCGTGCAGTGGAGGAGGGTGCTGCCCATGTTGGCTGAGGGTGTTGCCGAAGGCGTCTTTCCCAGGAACTGCTGCTTCCTGGACAGGGTGGCTGTGGGTGGGGGCTGGTGGCGTCCCCCAGCAAAGGCCTGGCGGGAGGGGTCCCACAGAGCCAGCCCAAGGAGACCCGGGAGGGGCCGGCTGCAGCCTCCTGGGAGTCCCGGGAGACTGCAGGAGGAACCCAGCTGTCCACACCACCCCTGGCCCTGGCTCCTCCCCTGGCCGCTGAGACTACTTCCTGCTGCTTGTGTTTGGGCAGAACATGCAAGAAAAGGGCAGGTGGGTGTCCGGGCGGGAAGGCCTGAAGCTCGGGCCCTCTGTCTCTCAGAGATGCTTGGACTCGAGGCCATTCTGGGGCTCTCTCCACCTGGGCCAGGTGGGGCAGCCAATGGGGTGACAGATGTTGCAGCCAAATCGCCCTCACATCCAACACTACATTCAGGAGAAGTGTGTGAGTATGTGCAGAGTGGGTGGTTGTGCTAATCTGGGTGGGGCTGGACTGGGCCTGGCTCACTACACTGGATTAATCTCATTGCACTAATCTGGGTGGCTTGCCGGCCTGGGCTTGGTAAACTGGGACGGCCGTGGCTCACTGCCCTGGGCGATCGACTGCAGTGGGTGTGGCTTAACACCATGGGTGTGGCTTATCGCCGTGGGTGTGGCTGACTAGAGTGGGCGTGGCTCACTGAGCTGGGCGTGGCTGCCCTGGGCCAGGCTGAACTGGTCTAGTCTAGGCACACATGCAGCCTCCTTTGTGTGGCACCCACTGCCCCCGTGTCCACCATTCCGTGGAGGAGCACACCTGCCCAGTCCCACTGCCTTTGCATATTGTCCCTTTCTTCACTGGGGTACTGCCTGGTGCCTGCACATGTTTGAGTCCAATGGAACTAAGAGATTCTCAGACCCTTAGTAATGGAACCCTCGGCCAATCTCCATTTTCTGTACATGCTTGATGCACTGAAAATGGATAAAAAGAGAGTTTCTCTGGTTACAGGCCAGGAGGGGACGGGTCTGTCCCTCCTGCCCACCCTTCAGCCCCCTCAGCCAGTGGCCCTGAAGCACTTATAGGCCCTTGGTTTGCACAGCAGGGACTCTCTGGCGGCAGGGAGCAGGCCTTGCCCTGGCCCAGGCCACTGGGAAAATTTGGGGCCTGGGGAATCTCTGGGCTCCTCTTCACAGACGCCACTGGAGAAGGGAGAGGCCCTGAGGAGAGATCTGCAGCCCCATCACCTCATTCCTCCCTGCTGGAGTCACCAAGATGGCCTTGGGAGACTGGTCAGTGCCTGGCAGACACCCCAGGTACCTTCCCATCTGGGACCACAATGCTTTCAACCAGGAGCATTTTAGGAATGGGGAGGAGACCTTCATTGGTGGCCATCCCCTCACTGTGCCTAACCCTCAAGGTTTGGAGTGCGGCACCCCATGGGACCCAATCTGGAGGTACTGGGGAGAAGACAGCCTTAGCATGGCCAGAGCCCAGCTCGGCCTAGCAGACTGAAAGGCCACCCACCTGCCTGTAGCAGTGCATACCCTTCTCAATGCTCAGGGACATTTGAAAGACAAGCAGGTGCTGGGCCACTGGACACATCTCAGTGTGTTTTAAAGAATGCAAGTCACACAGAGTTCCTTGACCATGATGGGATTAAATTAGACACCAATAGCAGAAGGGACACAGACAATCCTGAAACAGGAAGCAAGTAGACCACTCACTTCTGGGTAATGCGTGGGGTAGGAGGGAGAGGCAGAAGGTCAGGAGGTAGACTGCAGTGTTACCTTCAGTGTGGTGAGGCCAGCAGGCCAGAGATGCCCCCACCACGAGGCAGTGTGTCACTCACGTTTCAAGAGTAGGGGGCAGGCCACACCTGGGGAAGGGCCCACAGGGGCACTAGGTGGCCAGGACACAGGGGCAGCAAGGAGCCTGGCAAGAGCCTTTGCAGTGGTGTCTGCAGGAAGGAGCAGGCAGGGTGAGCGGGATGCTCAGGACTGGCCAGTGGGAATGAGTCCAGCTGGCCCCAGGAGAGGAGCCCGGCCTGGGCCATGAGGGCAGGTAGATGTGTGGGGGCCCCACAGAGGACGGAGGGTGTGAGGCTGGGGGGTTGGTTTGCACATGAAGGGTGTGCTGGAGGCCAATCCAATTGTCACTAGGCATCAGCCAGCCTGCAAGGGTCAGCAAGGTCCCATATGTCAAAGCACCAGCTACACAATTAATACAGAGTGAAATTAGAAAATATTTTTGATTCAATGAAAATTAAAACATACCAAAATCTATGGGGTGCAGGTAAAGCAGCACTTAGGAGACACTTTATAGCACTAATTGCTTACACGAGAAAAGGTAAAAGGTCACAAATTCTCTAAACCAGGAGTCAGCCAACCACAACCCACAGACCAGATCTGGCCCATCCTGTCTACAAAAACACAGCTTTGTTGGAAGACAGCCACACCTTTCCATTCACACGCTCTCTACAGTGGCTCCAGCCTAGGGCAGCAGAGTCAGTGGCCGTGACAGACAGACACCAAGTGGCCGTGACAGACACCAAGTGGCTCACAGCCCCAAAGTGTTCAGTGTGCTGAGCAGGACATGAGCACCACCCTAATAACCTTGTAAATTAAACCCAATGCAAGCAGAAAATAGGAAATACCAAAGAGCAGAGAAGATGGCAATTAAATAGAAAACCAATCAACTCAAGTTCTTTGAGATCAATAAACTCCCCACCAGACTGATCAGGAAACTACGAGAGGGGCTGGGCTGGGGCTCAGCGGTGAGCACTTGCCTAGCTCGGGCAAGGCCCTGGGTTCAATCCTCAGCACCACATAAAAATAAATAAATTAATTAAAGATACTGTATCCAACTACAACTAAAAAATAAATATTTAAAAAAATATGTATTTAAAAGAGAAAGAAACTAAGAGAGGACATGCACGTTACAATATGGAAATTGAAAGGGACATGGTTCCGACTGCAGACCTGTAGAGCAGAAGAGGATACTGTGTTTGAGTTTTGGTTGTGCACTCAGCCCTTGAGAAGCAGGGGACAGAAGCCTAGGACACTGAGAGCTGTTATCTGAGGTGGTTCCACTCTCCTCGGGCCTCCCGTGTCTGCCAGGAAATCTGCAGTCATGGGGACATCTTCTGTGTGAAGGAATGCATGTGTTTTCTCAGCTGCCTTCAGGAGGTTTTCTGTGGCTCAATGATGAGGTTTGGGAGGGAGGTTTTCCTTGCCGGCCTCAGGGAGTTCTGGATGTTAAAGTGACGTCTTCTCGCTCACTGGGGATGCTCTGGGGTTATCCTTTCAAATAACCTTCTGCCCCAATCTTGCTCCTCTTTCTGGAGCCCAACATGGGCTGGATTTTGATGGTGCATCTGGCCCCTGAGGCTTGCTCACCTACTTCTTTCTATCTCCTCTTCAGATCAGGTACCGATCTTCAAGTTCATGGGCTTTTCTCTTTTGTCTCTGTTCTGCTATTGAACTCATCAGTGAATATTTTACTGCAGATATTGTGGGGGTTTTTAGTTCTAAAATACTCATTTCTTATATTTCCTATTTCTCTGCTGAGAATTCTTCATTTCATATTGCATTCATTCATCAGTGTGAGTGTGTGTATGTGTGTGTGAGTGTGTGTGCATGAGTGTGTGTATGTGTGTGTGAGTGTGTGTGTGAGTGTGTGTATGTATGTGTGTGAGTGTATATGTGTGTGAGTGTGTATGTGTGTGTGAGTGTGTGTGTGTGTGTGTGTGTATGTGTGTGAGTGTGTATGTGTGTGTGAGTGTGTGTGTGAGTGTGTGTGTGTGTGTAGAGCGCATACTACCTCACAAAGTGCAGCCGTGACCGCTGCGGTCAGTGTCTGGGATGCTCTGGGCTGCCATCTTGTCATTGCCTTTCCTCTTGAGGTGGTCATGTCTCCTAGCTCTGTTTGTTGGGTAGTTTTGTTTCATAGCCTGGACACTGTGGGTATCATGCTGCACAGACTCTGGTCCTGTCCTATCTTCTAGAGAATGCTGATGCGTAGTTGGGACAGCCAGGTCACCTGAATCCCATCACCTCTGTGGTGGTGGCTCAAACTCCAGATCAGTTCTCAGAGCTTTGCTGGGCTGTTGGTCCCACCAGGGGGCTTGCCTGGGTCCTACTCAGAACCTGTCTGGCTCTCTCCCTCCCAGGACCCCCAATCCTTTTCCTGCCGCTTCTGGCCAGGAAAGTGGGGCTCCGTCCTAATATTCTTCCCTGGTGCTGTGACCTAGATGGGGCTCCCCCTGCAGCAAAGCCACAAGCAAAACACCTGAAATCAGTGCGGCTGCTCTGCTGAGTTCCACCCCCCCCCACCCCCTGTCTGCTCAGAAGCTGTTTGTGACGTCTCCAGACCCTGCTCAGAGTTAGTGGCTCCGAGGGTCGGCCAGAGCCAGAGCCTGTGCATAAGACACCCCCTCTCTGGCTCCTGCAGGGTCCCTGGTGGAGAGCTTCATGAGCCACAAGAGCGAGTGTGGCCCTCGGCTCTGTGCCAGGCAGGAGGCAGTGCCCAGCCTGGGAGCTGGGAGGGCCATGAGCAGCTGGGCTCTGACTGTGCTGTCCTCTGTCAGGTGGGGGAAGCTGGGGCTGGACGCCAGGCCAGGGAGAGCAAGATGCACATGCCACACGTCAACATGATGACTTCCTCCTGTGCCGCAATGGGGTGACGCCCTCAGGTGCAGGGGGAGGGGGCTGCTAGCCCACTACATCCTGGACAGTGGCGAGAAGGGCACCTCCCTCAGGACCAGGTCCCTGCCATGGCCACAGGAGATGTGCCAGTGGAGGCACAGCTGGCTGGGGCTTGGTGGGGGTGGACCGGGCCCGTCTAGCGTGGCTGAGCTCCGCCTCAGCAGCAAAGTCCTTGTCAGACCCAGTCTCCTCCACGCTCCAACCCAGAGGGATGATTGATGGCGGAGCCGATGAGCTCAGAGTCGGCGCAGGCAGTCTGGCAGGACAGCGGTGGGTGACTCAACCCGGAGGGAGAGACGGGAACCGGAGGCACCCTGCCCACATCCGCCATCAGGCACCAGCAGGAAGGCTTGCGAGCACTGTGACAGCTTAATGGCCTCTGGTTAAAGCATCCACGGATGTGCTGGTCGGGGAGAGGCTCTGAGCTGCACTGGCTGTGTGCCGGCCACCCCAGCCCAGGCTGCTGGGCCAAGACAGGAGATAAAGTGGCCATCAGTCCCGGTGCCCAGCTCCAGGGCCTGCCCAGCCCTCGGGGGACAGGAGGCACCCTGGGTAGGGGAACACCAAGTCAGGCAGCAGTGCTCAACCTGGCCTCTCCTCCGCCTGCCTGTTCACAGAGCTGCCCGTCTTCCCACAGGACCCCCAGGACTGAGCAGAAGGCACTGGGGAGCACAGAGCAGCCAGAGCAGGGCCTTGGGCCCACCCTGCACTCAAGTCGCCACGTCCTCCCAGAAGCTGCATCCCTTGGTTTGGGGAGAAAGGCTGGAGCATGTCCCAAAGGGACCAGACCAGGACAAGCAGCCCTGGGCCAGGCACCCTAAGGGGTGGGAGACTGCGGGGAGGACAGGGCACACGCGGGGCCTTCAGCCCCGTCAGCAGAGCTACCGCTTGCCCTGGGTTCCTACCCAGCTCCTCACATCTGAGCTCAGGGCCTCAGCCTCCAGCTCTGTCCTGCTTACCAGAGGTCCCAGGGGCAGCTCCAGTGTCCTCCCCAGGGGGTGGGCAGGCCACCACCACTTCCCTGATGAGGACCCAGAGCCTGGAGTGGAGCAGCCCTGCCCAGGGCCCTGCACACCTGTGTGCACACCTGCCCATCAAGCAGCCCTCTGGGGAGGGGCCTGTGGGCACACTGCCTCTCCCCACCACCTGAGCTGTTTCTCTCCGTTGAGCAATGCCCTCCTCAGGCCTAGGGACTCACAGGCCACTTGATCAGGCAGCGGTGCTCAAGCTGGCCTCCCCTCCACCTGTTCACAGAGCTGAGCTCAGCGTGATGGGTGCACATGGACCGTCACCGTAGCTTTGATGTTGAGACTGCCTGGGCAGGAACAGCTGACCCAGAGCCTGTCCCCTACTGAGAGACAGGGCCTGGCCTGAGGAGAGTCCCGATACAGGACAGGGAGGTGTGCCTGAGGACGGCCCCTGGCAGGTCCTTTGACAGGAGAGGAGAAGCCAGGACTCACCTTCCTGGGGTCTTGGCGTCAGGCTCTGGCTTGGTCGAATGCGAGGGAAGAGGGGGGTTTCTCAAAAATTCCCAGGACGTTACGGATATGGGAGTTTGACATGGATGGACAGTTGTGAGGGGCTAGCCCCAGGCCCAGACTGCATGGCCCTAGGCCTGGGTGGGAGTCCCTTCCTGACCAGAGACTGGTAGGAAGCCCCGCCTTTCTTGGGGGAGGGGGATTCTGCAGCCCCCAGGGCACGTCGTCAACCTCAGATACCAAGGAAGGTTCTGCACCAGAAGGTTCCGGGGTCCAGCCACCACCCAGAGTCGGGGAGGGAGTGCATCCAGGGGCAGCAGGGAGCAGCTGAGGCCAGGCTGGCGTCCACCTCGACCAAAGGGCCGACTGAGCTGCTTCAGAGGACGCTTGCCTGGCAAAGGTCACCATGAAGTGCTAGGACGCAGGCCAAAGCCCCGTGGCCTCAGACCTACTGAGATAGGCCCCGAATGTGCCAGAACCCGCCCACCCTGCCCCGAGGCACGGCCGGCACCCTGCGCGTGGCTCCGGTTACCTGCACAAGAAGCCGCAGGCCTGGGCTGTATGAGGACTCCGTGGCTTCATCGGGAAGATTTGGGTCATCTGTGGGCGTCTCCTGCCGTCAGCACTTCACTGGCTGGGACCTCAGCTGGGTCTGCGGCTGGACTGTCCTGGCCCCTCACACGGACGGGCTTCCTACAGCAGCATCCGGGACGGGGCGCGGAGCCCCGACCCATGACGGGCCACGCGGTACTGCTTCCATCTGTTGCAAAACTACCGGTTCCAAAAGAGGGAACAGAGACACCTCTCCCTGGGAGCCTGCGCCCGACAGGGGTCAGCGTGATGGGTGGACATGGACCGTCACCGTAGCTTTGATGTTGAGACTGCCTGGGCAGGAACAGCTGACCCAGAGCCTGTCCCCTACTGAGCAGGACCCTGGCCCCAGCGAAGGCTCTGGCCTGGAAGCCTCCTCAGTGTCACGAGTGGCTTCTCCCAGCTGTCCCCCATCCAGGATCCCAGCCCCTTCCACCCTGCTGTCACAGGCTGGGGACCACAGGGCCACTGTGTCTGTTGCTGTCCAGCTAATATCAAGCCATCTGGCGTGCTCCTTAAATGGCATTCCGGGGAGCAGCAGGCTGTCACCTCCGAAAACAAGCTTCTGATGGATTATAACCGGCCTCACGCAGAGGGTGCTCCCAGGGTTCTCGCCCATATCGCAGATGAGACTCAGAAGGCACTGTCACTCAGCCCCGTGTGGGGCCTGCCTGCGGACCAGGCCAGATCCACTCCTCTCTATCGCCTGGAAGCGACTGCAGCCTGCGTCACCACCTCCCGCGCTCCCTTCTGAGCGCAGGCTGAGCAGCTCGTAAAGCTCAGGAAGACACCTGCTTGTCACCCGCTCTCAGGCCATCAGGGCTCGATGCCCTGGGCCAGGAGAAGCTGTGTCTGCTGTGCTCTGGAGGAGGTGGCAGTCCCTGTTTTGCTCGGGGACCCCCGTGATTCAGACAGGGCTGGCGGGCTGCGGGTAGCCCAGGGTTGGGCGCATGGTGCTGGAGGTGGGTGAGAGGCTCCTCCCGCAGGGCTGGGACACCAGAGACAGGGGCCCCCAGGTCCAGAAGACCACAGGAGGGTGCAGAGAGGCAGTATGGAGGGCTGTGGCAGGGACCCCGGGGACTGGGTGGAGCTGCCCCAGGACGCAGGCCGGGGCTCCTTGGTCGCCTGACGACAGGCCTGTGGAACGAGGGCGCGGCGATCAGGGCCAGGAGGCAGGCTCAGCGCAGCGGCTGCAGGAGGCCCTCTGTGGACCAGGCCAGCTCCTCCTCACCAATCCCAGGGCCAGAGGATAAAGGGAGCCGGGGACACCCAGAAGACCCACAGGACCAGCAGAGCCCCAGGGTGGCAATGCCGTGCGTCCGCCACCCCCCAGGACGAAGGGCTCAGGCAGCCATCCAGGAGGAGGAGGGGACTGTGAGCACCCGCCGCAGGGCAGCCAGAGGGGCCACTGGCTTTCTCTAGCTCACCCTTGGGCAGGGCCCAGGGACGGGTCTCAGGGCAAATGGGGCTCTGGTCCCGGCCCTCAGAGCAAGGGGCCTCCTCAGAGGGGCTGCCTCCACTGCAACGGTCCCCCTCATGCAGCCTGGCAAGAGCCGTGAGAGGAGACAGGCCCAACAGGAGGGCTTCCTGGAGGAGGTGACGTCTGAGCTGACCCGGGAGGGAGGAGCAGGGTGTGGGAGTGGTGTGGCCAGAAGGGACACCAGGGGACAGCAGCAGTCCCTGGAAGCATGTCCTTCTCTTTCTGCATCCCTGGGTCAGTTGGGGTGGGGGTGGCCCACCAGCCCCAGGCCGCGGGTGTCCCAGCAGGGCCAGCTCTTCTCCTGACAGTGACGCAGCACAGCCTTTGCACAGTCACCACTGCAAAATCCTGTTGGCCAACGGGAGTCACGAGCCAAGTGCACGCTGGGGACCAGGACAGAGGCTCTTCCACCACGAGGTCCCAGGTGAGGGGTGGAAACGTGATGTCCTGCCATGGAGGGCGGGGCTACGGCCAGGAGTGGGGCCAGGGCTGCCTCGTCCTCTCCCCAGTGACTCAGGGAAGCACCCACCAGCTCCACCGTGGGTTCAGAGGGTCCCACGAGGGTGGTGCTGGGCGTGGAGTCATGGGCAGTCTTCACCCCTCACTCTACAGCCTGCTTCCCGGGGCGTGCCAGGCATCAGAGCAGACCCGGCCACGGCACCAGGAACAGCCGCAGGAGGAGGCGCAGCCCCAGTCAAGAGGCCACAGAAGGACCAGGCCTGACTCCCCAGGGACCACAGGAGGGTCAGGATGCCCTGGCCAGGTCTGCAGGAGCCCAGCCAGGCCGAGCACACACGGGCTCAGCCACCTCCTTCCTGCCTGCCCCCAGGCCCAGCCCCAGCAGCCCCGCCAGCAAGCCTCGTTCCAGTAATCCACACGATGATGCCACATAAAAAGATTGCTTTCCCGGAAAACTGCTGACACTCGGGTCTGGGAAAGAGAGGGCTTACGAGAGATGGGCTCCCAATCCATACAGGGCTCGACGCTCAGACCTTAATCAATCTGCATCCCTCGGAGCTAAAACAGTTGTGATTTATGAAATCCACAAGTCAGATCTCTCTGTCCCCCCTGTATTACCAACAGCAAAGAGGAGCTCTCTCCTGACAGCACCCCCCCCCCGCCACTTTGAGACCCTCCTAGGGACATGCGTGGGGTCCCAGCCCTCACACACTGGCCACAAATGGGACACAGGCAAAGAAGCACCTGCTTCTCCCGAGGGCCCAGGACTCAGGAGCTTCTAGCTCAAAGCAAAGGGCAGGACAGGCAGCTGGTCAGTCTCTCCCTGGCCTGCGGACTTACTTTTCTGCCCCTGCTGCTTGTGTCCTGGGGGTCACTTCAACTAACTTCTCCTGAATCCTCTTGCAAACCTGTGGGCACCTGGACTTCCTGGCAAACCTGGGGGCCAGGGAGGACAGCCCCGACAGGTGGGAGACCCAAACACTCAAAACCGGGCAGAGGGTAGATTCTATGTCCCGTGTGCCTTATGACAATAAAACCAAATCAATGTTTTAACAACAAAAACCCAACCAAGACCCCCTCTGCCAGCTGTGTGTGGGGGTGCTGGTCAGCATGAACTCGGGAAGGGGGGCACGGCACCCAGCCCTCCCACTCGCCAGCTGGGTCTCGGGGCCCTGCCTCTGCTCCAGGAGCCTGCGCGGCCGAGGAAGAGCTGCCGGCTCGGGGGCTGGTTGCGAGGATCAGAATCAGGGTACATCCAGACAGGGCGTCCCTTCTGCCACAGCTGTTAGGGTTCCTTCAAGTCCCGCCCAGCCTCGGGCTTGCCAGACTCCGGCTGCCGAGGCCACAGTTCTGTTCTGAACCTGTGAGCTCAAGGCGCAGGCGGGACCTGGGGGACGGCTCAGCTCAGGCTGCTCCTGGGGGACTTGGCCGCGTGCATCTCACCTGCAGACCAGACCCCGCCAGCCAATGGGGCTGTCACTGTCGGCAAACAGGAGCCCTCAGGTGAGGGACAGAACCAGATGGGAACAAGACCTGAAACTCACGGAAGGACCTTGCCCTGCGGGGGTCCCCGCCTCGGTGGGCAGAGCACTTGAGGGCAGGTGTGTGAGGCACCCTGGCTCAAAGCTCCAGGGCTGAGCCAGATGAACCAGGGTGTAGGTTGGGCTCGGGGGAGTGGGATGCGGAGGGCTCTGAGCTGAGCCCATGGGGGTCGCAGACTCGGGCCTTCAGACTTGCATGGATGCAGCTAAGTCTGCAGCTCCCGGCCACCCCTGGGAGCCCACCCCCATGGGCCTGGGTGGGGACAGAATCTGCCTTTGAAACTGGTCCCCATCCCACCCAGAGATGCCAGGGCAGGAGTCCCAGCTGGGAAGACACGACCCCAGACCCCAGCCACACTAGTGTCCAGAGGGGACCTGTCCACCAGGCCGCCAGCCTGGGAGCAGGGCCCCAGAGCAACCCCGAGTGGCCAGCCAGTGGGAAGCAGGGAAAGGGACTCATGCCTATGGCTCCCCCAGGCACTTGAGCACCTGCCACACTAGGGCCTCCCCAGCCTTGCACCCGGCGCCACCCCCACCTACCCGGGGACTGCAGGAGGATGCCGAGGCCCAGCTCCCCTCCAGGCTAGCTTTCTGGGACCTTAGGGTGCCCAGCCAGGGCGGTGGGGGACACAGCCAATCCGAGACCTCCTGGCTCCTCTGGCTCAGGGGAGTCCCAGTCTCCGGAAGTTTCAGTGCACGCAGTGGGACACCTTGGCCTCTCCCTAGGCCTGGCTGGGCTCAGCTGGGGCACTGCCGCCCTCTGCTGGCTCAGAGAGGCACTGCCCCAGGGACTCCAATGAGGGCCCTAACGAGGCTCAGGCTTGACCAGATCCCACAAAGCATTGCCCAGAGGCTAGTGACAGGGACTCGAGGACTTCACAGGGTCCAACACCAGCAGAAAGGGAGTGACACCCCTGCCAGGATCAGCCCCTGGGCTCTCTGAGCTGCCGGGTACCCCGGGTTCTCAGGACACAAGTGGAAAACTTCAGAAGGTGTTAGCAGAGACAGAGACTTTAGAGTCCAGCTCCTTCATTTTCCAGCCAGGAGAACTGAGGCCTCGAGGAGTCAAGGACCTTAGATGAGGGCTGGCTCGAGGCTCTGGAGCCGCCAGCAGTCCGCCCCATGCTCACCCCAGGCCCCTGAGGCCACCCTCGGGAGACGTGGACCCAGGCTACAGTACACAGAGGGGCAGTGGGCCGGGGAGGGGCGTGACCCTGAGGCGGGGAGTTTCAGTCCTTGTCCTGTCTGAACGGCTATAAGGTCTGCGTGGCGCATGGGATGCACAGGATGCCCCCATGACCCCGACCCCACAGGCCAGCCTGCCAACCCTGGAACCCAAGCTCCTGGCCTTGGTACACCATTTCTTAGCCGCTCAAACAAAGCCGGACAGGAAGTGTGCCAGTTTTGCCTTCAGGGTCCCTGTTCTCAGCCTTGGGCTCTGGCTGACCATGAGAGCACCCGGGGGCTTTCAGAAAGGAAGGCCCGGCCTCCTCCGGGGCACACGCTGCCCACTGCTTCTACATGGAGGCCACTGGGCCAGTTTTAACACAGGCTTCAGAGGGGGCACCTGTGGGAGTCCTTGGTCCCTGTTGCCGGGCTGACCAAGCGGGCTCACAGAGAGACGAGTCCCTAGTGTGTGGCGCAGCTGCTGAGTGGCATGCAGCAGAAGCAAGGCCCGAGGACTCACAGCCAGAGCCGGGAGGGAAGCGCCAGGGCTGGATCCTGCTTCCCGTCAGGTTTTCATGTCAGCAGACTGTTTGGGCCAGACTCCAGCATGCTCAGGGTGCTGCACAATCCTGGACCAGAGAGGGTGGGCCGAGTCTCATTTGGTGACGATGTGAGGCCCACAAGTTCGATGCACGCAGAACCAACCAGAGTCAAGAAAAGACTCCTCTAACAGACCCTGAGGGGGCAGCCTCCGCAGCTGACCCACCCGCAGTGGAACAGGCTCCTGCCAAGAGAATGGAAAACTGCTGGGCAGAAATGTTCTGTGTCCATGGCTCCAACTGACCAGGCTACCAGATGCCATCCCTGCAGTGGGGCTGCAGGTGCCCTCTCCCAGGTGGCCGTGGAAGATGTTCCTACAGGCGTTCCCAGCGGGGGCCTGTGAGGCGCCAGCCACCAGCAGTCAGCTGGGGTCCTGTCCTGGGCCCTTCCTGTCCCGAGCAACCTACAAGCTGGCTCTCTGCCCCACTGGCCTGTGCCCTGGGGCACTGCAGGTGCCTTGCTTTTCCTGGCCCCTCTCTCCTGGGCAGCAGGAATGCCTGTCACAAGGCTCGACAGGCCTGGACTGTGCCCTCATTGTTTACAGTGACCACAACGAACTGGGTGGGGCAAGGGCTGGGCCCCCGGTGCTCACCTTCCGTTCTTTCTCTTCTTGACAAGAATATGATCCATGCACAGGAGAACGTTTGCAGCACCCTGGGGTGAACTGGGACGGAGCAGCCAGGGATAGGGCAGGGAGGTTCCCGACGAGGAGAGGCGGGGCGAGGGGAGGACAGGGTGGACCTGCCACAAGGCCACCTGGAGTTCAGCATGGCCTGTCTGGTGAAATAGAGTTGGGAGCCCTCAGACGCTCAGTGGAGGGCTTGGGAGTCCCAAGGGGACTGAGGGGTCCTGAGGGTGACAACCGCAACGTCTGCTGTGCTGAGCTCACAGTGAGCCCCAGAACCCCCAAGCCAAAGCTCCGGGAACCAAGCCACGGGTGCCTGCCCTGTGCTGGGGACGGAGACCAGGAGCCTGGCCTGCTGGGCACGTGTTCTACCCCCGAGCCACTCCCGGCCATGGGGGCTTTGGAAGCGAGTAGTGTGAAGGCAGGACTGTACCTCAGGGCAGCGTGGAGGGGCAGGGGCAGACGCATGGGTGGAAGGGTTCCACCTCACACAGGGAAAGGCCTGATACAGGGAGGACGTCAAACTCATGCTCCCTGTGGATTCGTGGTCCAGGTGATGAGGGCCTCCTCTCAGTGGCCAGTGACTTCAGAGGAAGCACCCAGTGTCCGTGCAATGGTGGTCACCTGCCCAGACTGGCTGCAGTGGACTGGAAGCTGGACGCAAGGCCCACGCTGCGTGGTCCGCTGGTGTAAATGTGCTGAGCAGGCACACCTGCAGACAGGACCTGGGAGCCGGGTCAGCTCCAATGGCACGAGGCCACGGCACCCACAGCGAAGGCAGGGACGTCTGTGCGCTCTGGACGCAGGTTTCGTCGACCAAACACACACGTGGGGGAAGGAGAGAAGTGAAGCAAGGAGACCTCAAGCCAGTTGAGACAGGGAGCACTGGGCCATGCACACCGAGGTGCCAGGAAGCCGCCCGGAGTCCTCGTCCTGCTGAGCGTGACAGCAGCACTGTGTGTTGTTTGGAGAGAGGTGCAGCTCTGCAGGAGGAGCAATCCCAGATCGGAGTCTGCTCCCTAATAATCTGGGTGGGCAGGGGCCGGGGCGGGCCCTGCACCTACCGGAGTGGACGCCCGCACACTCCTTCACTCACGAGTGCCCAGTGTCTGCATTAGCACAAGCTGGGGCGCACTGGCGAGAGCCACGTGGACTGGCCTGGTGTCCGCCGGTCCCAGGAGGCAGCCACCTGGGTCATCTCTGGCTGAGTTGCCTGCTTCCAGCTCCTCACGAGGCTGTGAAGACACTTGCCATTGTCCTTGCTCTTGAGTGCCAGAGCCACGTCCCTGCTGCACAGGACAGTAAAGTGGCCCTTTGTACCGCTGTGGTGGCCTCTCTCTTGGCCCCAGTGGCTCACACAGCTGGCTCCTCCTTGAGGTTCTGCCATCTCTGGAGAGCTGGGGGGAGCAGGAGACCAGGGGGTGAGCTGTATGAGGACCCAGAAGACGCGGTGCCTGTCCCCAGCTGGGATTTTCCACCTGCCTGCCCACATGACTCAGCCCAGCCGGATTGGGGGACGGCCCTGGCCCATTGCGCCCACTGCAGGAAGAAGGGTGGCGGCTCTGGGCCTTATCACTGGGCCGGACTTTTCCACTGTGACCCAGGGGCCCTCGGGCCTGCTGCTTGCCCAAAATAGACTTCCTGTGGGAGCCCTGTGGTCTGGGCTGAGGGCCAACAGCCCTCCACGTCAGCAACTCATGGGGACCTCTGTGCACCCTCCCCACAGCCCCAGAAGTAGGAGGGACGCAGGGTGGGGGGTTTGCAGATGGTGCACACAGGGCTGAGGGGTGAGGCTGACCCCCACCTGACCTGGCCCTCAGTGACAGCCCTGCCCCCTGAACACCCAATGTGAACCTGGGAGAGCCCTGTCCACTCGGAGGACAGGGCTTTATCCAGGTGAAGAGTTACGGCCTTTCAAACGTTTCCACTCTCGCTCCCGTGACAGGCCACATTGACCCCCCAGGACCTGCACTTCCTGAGCACAGGGGCGGGGCTCTGAGTAACCGTGTGGTCACCAGCCCCGAGAGGGAGATTGGACAAGAGCAGCCGGAACTGAGAGCCGTTAGGACCAGCAAGGCCCCCGGCCCAGGGGCTCCACGTCCCAGAATCCCCCAGGCAAAAGCCCCCTCAAGGAGGTGCCAGCTGCACACGCTGGCCTTCCTGCCCAAGGCCACCAGGGCCTCCCACATCTGACCCCAGGCACCCCCCAGAGCTCCAGGCGACAGGGACACTCAGGAGGGAGCAAGGCGGAGCCCCCATTTCAGGATGGAGGCCAGCCTCCCCTTGGCACCCCAGCTGGTGAGCAGGGCCCGTCCACTCTGTCCCCACAACACAAGGTGTCAGCTTGGTCTGTGGCCTTTCCTCAGGGCTCCAGCAGAGGCCCTGGGACTGGGAACCAAGGCCCAACCACCTCTGGGACAGGACCAGTGTCCCCCAGCTGTGTGGCTGGCACTGTGCATGGTGTCCCTCTCACCCCCCCCCCACACACACAGGTACACATATCCGTCACACACACACTCACACGTGCACACACAGGCACGGTCACACCACTGAGGCTCCACACCCAGCACTCACGCTCCTCACCGCGGGGCCTGAGGGGTGCTTGCCAGTCTGCGCCTGGCTGTGAGCACCTCTCTGGGTGCCACCAAGTGGTGCCTTCAACCTTCAGGATCTTAGAATTTCGGTGCCCCCAACACAGCTCACTGGCAAAAGCACCTGGAGCCGAATGGTCACTTCTCAGGTTCTGGTGGCCACACCAAGAAAAGGGAAAGGCAATGTGACCTTCATCTTAGTATCTTTTACTGAAATCCAACATAGCTGTGTGCAGCAGCCACACCTGTGACCCTCCCGCGGGAGGCTGAGCAGGATGGCAAGTTCGAGGCCAGCCCGGGCAGCTTGGCAAGACCCTGTCCCCAAATAAAATGCAAAGGGCTGGGGAGACAGCTCAGTGGAAGAGCTTGCCTCACATGTGTGAAGCTGTGGGTCTAACACCCAGCACCGACAATGCATGATAGATCAAGAGAGCCAAAATATCATCTCTTTACCACGTGATCAATAGAAAGAATTACTAATGACAATTCTTATTTCCCTTTTTCTTCTGAGTCTCCAAAATCTGCTCACTTGAGTCAGTTTGGGCACTGAATTTTTATCAGAAATCCTCCACTGGACTTAGATTTCATGAAATCCAACAATGAAGTGCCCACCTAAGTCACCCAACACACTGGAATGTTCCTAACTGTGGAGCTGATCACCAGTTTTAAATTTTAGATTCAAAGTATCAGTTTTGAAAGAAGAAAACACCTGGTTCACGTCCCCAGAGCTCCATGGCCACCCTGGGCCGAGGCCGTTTGTAGGACGGAGCAGGTGGCCGTGGCCACCTCCACATGGAGTCGCCATGTGGGAGGGGTGGGCTGGGCCGTGGCCTGGTCACAGTCCCTACAGGCAGGCAGCCCTGGTGGGTCATCAGCCGCAGCGGGGAGGACAAGGGCTGGGTCACAGACAAGCTCCGCTCCCTGGGGTGTGGCGCTGGCCGGCTGGCCTGTGGGTCCAGGCTCCCCAGGCCTCCCCTCCTCCCAGAGTCCTTTCCCACGATCCCTCCTGGGTTCCGCCATGGACACCATCTGGATGGCAAGGCCCATCGCAAGCCCAGCCCAGGCCCAAGTCCAGGCACAGCCCCGTCTGCTGCCTAGATGACCAGAAGAAAGTCAGTGACCACCCCGTGTCCAGGAGTGCCCTCCCACAGCCATCTCTGGCCTCCACCTGCCCTGGGATAATGACCAGAGGGGCCTCTGGGCCCACCCTGCGTTGGCATCTCCCTGCCGCCGCCCTCTTTCCTGGTCCTGCGTGCGCAGCTCCGTCTGGGCCGGGCGTTGGCACAGCTGCTCACCAGGCCCAGCGCCCACTCTCCTCACCCTCCCTTCTCAGCTCGGAGCCGCTCTCAGGGAATCCCAGGCTCCATCCGGGCTGAGCCCTGTGGCAGCCGCACCTGAAGCTCCTATCACGGCTGAGGACTCAGGTCTGGGCTTGCAAGCCGTCCATCCGGCCTCTCCGAGCGCTCATCTTATCTGCTGGTATCCACAGTGCCACCGGCTGACCCTGCTGGGCTCTCCACATCCCGCACACGGTGGGGCGGGAGGAGCGCAGACCCTGCAGCAGGCCAGAGTCCCAGGCACACTCCTCTGCCCACAGCCGACCCTGTGTGAGAAGGAGGTGGACACACCCCACCTGGGCTGTGGCCTCACCCCACAGCCGGGACCCCCGGCCTCAGGTGCTGTCTGTGGAACAGGCGGAGGTGCCCTCGCTGTGCTGCCCACGGGCCCTCACCTGTCCACACCACCTGGGGGGCGTGTGCTGGGGGTGAACAGGGCCGAGAGGCCCCACACGAGAGAGACCCCGAGGGGTCAGCCCACTCCCATCAAGGAGGAGCCGTGGGCAGGAGGGCTGAGACAGCTACTGACGTCACGCCACAGTGGCCTCATCCCGCAGGCTGGAGTCACCATGAGGGCTGGGTGGGCTGGGGCAATGAAGTCACCATGCGGGCTGGGGGCAATGCTGTCATCATGTGGGCTGGGTGGGCTGGGCCAGTGGCCTCCCTCGGGCAGGCGGATGCTTGGTGAGCCCCCAGCCCTCCTAGGACCTTCAGCCTAGCGAAGGCGGGTGGAGGGGGGGCCTTGCCTCCACCATGAGTCTGCGGGGATTCTAGAAGGAGCCTGCCCCCCCAGGGAAGCCCCCGAGGGCTGTGAGCCTCTGACCACAGACGCTCGGGCCCAGGAAGACAGCCTCGGGTGTGGCTTCCCACTGCCCCAGCCTCGGGCGGCGGCTGTCACAGATGTGGTGGGACCCGCGGTCCCTGCAAGCTGAGACCAACCAGGAAGCAGGAAGCGTCTCGACCGCCCCAGGGCAGCAACTTCCGCGGCTTCCTGGCCCAGTAACTTTCCAGTTTCCACCTCCTCTCCTGGGGCAGGAAGGACACTCAGACGCTGACAGCCCAACCAGACGCACTCCTGCCCAATCACCAGCCAGGGCCACCCATCGCGGGCCATCAGCTCAGGCGCCTTCGACCCCAGCCCATGCAGTGATACCCCTTCCCTTCCCCTCAGGTCAGGTGTGTGCCTGGCCACCCAGAAGCAGCACCTCTGAGGTGGGGAAGGTCCCAGGATGGGGTCTCCAGGGGACAGGGACTCAGGTTCCTGGACACAGGGGAAGAGGGCGGCAAGAAGAGCCGTGCTTCGTGCAGGGTCTCAGCCGAGGCGCAGAGACCCTTGGTGGGGCCCTGGGAGGCAGGAGGTCTGGCAATGCGTGCCCTGGCCACCTCTTGGCCTGGGGCTGAGGACTCAGCATGGAGCGGGCTGTGCTGTGAGCTAGCCCATACCACACCCCAAAGCCCCAGCCCAGCCGGCAGACCCATGTTCCTTCTCCTCTGGGGCCCGAGGCCGTGATTCACTCCCCTCCCCTGGGACACGAGGGCCACATGGCTGCCTGGAGGTGACCAGTGGGTACCTGGGGGCCAGCGTGAGGTACACCCTGCCTGGCAGCTACTGCCCAACCTCCAGATGAGCCTGCAGGGCCAGGGGCTTACCCGTGACAGCCGCTGGGCCTGGGCGGTAATGACCGACAGTGCCCAGGGCGGAAGAGGCCCGGTGCACCCCCACCCACCCCCTCTTCCAACGGCTTGGCTTCTTGGCAATTCTGTGTTTGAAAATATTTTATGGGAAAGCTCTTTTATTATTCAAATATGTCACTATCAATAAAGGGAAATGACCAACCAAACCCTCCTGCCAGTTTCCCCATAAAGAGCAGGTCACGCCCCAGAACTTGGTCCACAAAGACTGGAACAAGCCCTCCGGTCTAGACAGAGGGGAAGAGGTCCCCAGCTCCAGGGGGAGGACCCTGGTGTCCGCAGCCCTGCGTCAGCAGGGAGCTACAGCAGGCCCCAGCCTGCAGGAGCCACGGCATGTGGGGCTGAGCCCACAGCGAGGCCCAGGGCAGGCAGATGCATCAGTGTGCTCCGAGGCTCATTGCTATCCAGAACCGCCCGGGCAGAGGCCTCTGCTCTCCTCTCAGGAAAGAGGGTAAAGAAGGGCTGAGCGGGAGCCCACCCGAGGAGCCCATCCGTGGAGAGCACCCTCCCTTTGCAGGAACTGCCCTGGGTGTGCAGCAGCTCAGAAAGGGCAGCTGGCCGTAGAGGCCACAGGGGCACAGGAGACGCGGTCCCAGGGTGCTGAGTGTCCCCACGGTGCCCGGGCCCAGCATGACCCACTTCTGGGGCCAAGGATTGTTCCCTCCTCAGTGGCAGGCACTCACGCCATCAGACACCACACTGTCACCCTTAGCTTGCAGGTCAATGGCATCTGGACCAAACCAACACTGGAGGTGGGAAGGCTGTCCTGGGCGGCCGCCTTCCTCAGGCTGGGGCAAGGCCAGCCGGGCGGCTGCTGGACCTGGCTTCCTTGCTGGACCCTGCCGAGGGCAGCCATGCCGGGGGGCACCTGGGGCACCTGGCCAGCCTGAGCAGGATGCACACCTGCTGCCGGGGAGTCTGGCTGTGGGGGCTTGGACGGGGTGGAAGCCAGGCCTCTGTGACACGGAGCAGCCACAGGCTCCGAC